GGCAGAATTAATATTGTCAAAATGACCATACTACCAAAAGCACTAAATCAGATTCAATGTAATCTCAATCAAAATCCCAATGATATTCCTCACAGAAATAGAAAAAGCAATCATGAAATTCATCTGCAAAAATAAGAGACCCAGAATACCCAATGCAATCCTTAGCAAGAGTGAAGCTGGTGGCATTATTATTCTAGACATTAAACTATACTTCAGAGCAATAGTAAAAAAAAAAAACAGCATGGTATTGGCACAAAAATAGTCCTATAGACCAATGGTACAGAACAAAGGACACAGAGACTAACCCATATAACTACAGTTATCTTATATTAGACAAAGACGCTGCCAGGCATGGTGGTGCACGCCTATAATTCCAGTGGCTCAGGAGGCTGATGCAGAAGGATTGCAAGTTCAAAGCCAGCCTCAGCAATTTAGCAAGGTGCTAAGCAACTCAGTGAGTCCCTGTCGCTAATAAAATACAAAATAGGGCTGGGAATGTGGCTCAAGTGCCCTGAGTTCAATCCCTGGTACCCTCCCCCTGCGAAAAAAAAGTGCCAAAAATGTACATTGGAGAAAAGATAGCCTCTTCAACAAATGGTGTTGTGAAAACTGGAAATCCACATGTAACAAAATGAAATCAAACCTCTATCTCTCACTATGCACAGTATTCAATTCAAAGTGAATCAAGGACCTAGGAATTAAACCAGAGACCTTGCGCCTAATATTAGAAAAAATAGGCCCAAATCTCCATCATGTCGGATTAGGCTCCAACTTCCTTAATAAGACTCCTATGGCGCAATAATTAAAACCAAGAATCAATAAATGAGATGGATTCAAACTAAAAAGCTTCTTCTCACAAAAGAAAATCAATGAGGTGAACAGAGAGCCTACAGAATGGGAGAAAATTTTTACCACAAGCACATCAAATAGAGCACTAATCTCTAAGATATAAAAAGCACTCAAAAACCTTAACACCAAAAAACCAAATAACCCAATCAATGAGCCAAGGAACTGAACAGACACTTTTCAGAAGATGATATACAATCAATCAACAAACATATGAAAAAATGTTCAACATCTCTAGCAATTAGAGAAATGAAAATCAAAACTACTCTAAGATTTCACCTCACTCCAGTCAGAATGTCAGTTATCAAGAATACAAACAACAATAAGTGTTGGCGAGAATGTGAGGGAAAAGGCACACTCATACTTTGCTGGTGGGACTGCAAATTGGTGCAGCCAATCTGGAAAGCAGTACGGAGATTCCTTGTAAAACTTGGAATGGAATCACCATTTGACCCAGCTATTCCATTCTTTGGCTTATACTCAAAGGACTTAAAAGCATATTACAGGGACACAGCCATATCAATGTTTATAGCAGCACAATTCATAATAGCTAAATTGTGGAACCAGGGCTGGGGTTGTGGCTCAGTGGTAGAGTGCTTGCCTAGTACGTGCAAGGACCTGGGTTCGATCCTCAGCACCACATAAAAATAAATAAATAACATAAAGATACTGTGTCCAACTACAATTAAAAATATTTTTTAAAAAATTGTGGAACCAACCCAGATGCTCTTCAGTAGCTGAACGGATAGGGAAACTTTGGTACATATATACAATGGACATTACTGAGAATTAAAAGAGAATAAAATCATGGCATTTGCAGGTAAATGGATAAAGTTGGAGAATATAAAGCTAAGTGAAGCAAACCAATCCCAAAAAACCAAAGGCCAAATGTTTTCTTTGATATGAGGATGCTGACTCATAATGGCAATGGAGGGGGAGCCTGGGAGGAATGGAGGAACTTTAGATAAGGCAAAGGGGAGGGAGGGGAAAGGAGGAGGCAAGGGGGTAGGAATGATGGTGGAATGAGTAGACATCTTACCCTAAGTACATGTATGAAGACACGAATGGTGTGAAATACTTTGTGTACAATCAGTGACTTGAAATATTGTGTTCTATATGTGTAATATGAAATGAATTGCATTCTGCCATCGTGTATGACAAATTAGAATAAATAAATAATAAAAAAAGGAAAGAACAGCAGTGGAGGTGATCATGTAGACCTAAGAGATAGTGCAGAAGCACATTTCTTCTGCTTCCTCTGAACTGATTAGAAAAGCAATGATATAAAACTGTATGTATACCATCCTGCTGCCAGCAGCCAGCTGCCAGCAAACAGAAATGCAGCATGTCTGGCAGGGCAGAGCTGTCCAGGAGGAAAACACTGATGCCCTCCCAAACACAGCACACAGTGTTCACAGCAGCAAAACAGAAGCAGCCAAGGGCCCCTCCACCAGTGAATGGGAATGTGGTCTGTCCACACCACGGAATATGGTTCCACAACAGAAAGGAACAAAGACCAAGGAGCCTGGAGAGAAGCATTGCCTTAAGTGCAGCACTGAGGCTACAATGGGACTGCTTCCCTGCATGTGACACATTCAGGAGGCCCATCCACAGACACCAAAAGCAAAGCAGTGACTGCCCACACTGCGGGGAATGGAGGGTAGGGGCCAAAAGCAAGGGGCCTCTTTTTGAGAAGATGGAAATGTCCTAAAATTGACTGTGATGACTCGCCCATCTCTGTGAAGATACAATAGGGCACGTAATATGGCTCAAGATGTGGCCAATGGCGGTTAAGAAGCACCTGCTGCTGGGAAGCCACACAGAGCCACTATCAGGACCCAAGCCCGTTGTACCCACAGCACTCATGGACAGTGCCACTGATTCTTTTTTTTAAATATATATTTATTTTTTAGTTGTAGATGGACACAATACCTTTATTTGTTTTTATGTGGTGCTGAGGATCGAACCCAGGGCCTCACGCTTGCTAGGTGAGCACGCTACCACTGAGCCACAACGCCAACCCTACTGATGCTTAAATACAAGCCTTAGAGATGAAATGTTGGCATTCTGTTACACAATGACTCTAACATTCCCACATAAAGAATGTCAGCTTGACAGTCTCTTTTTCACCTTCTCCATGGCAAAGGCTGTGCCCTTTTGTTAATCCAGTGGTGCCCAGCACAGCAGCTGGCTATCAGAGGTGCTCAATAAACCCCTTTTGAGTGACCAAACAGTGGATGAAGGAAGGGGCCCTCTTTCAGATATGAGAGATGCACAATGACCTTGCCCAGGGTGTGGATGTGGAATCAGGCACCAGAACTGGTTGCTGTGGCTCAGTGTGTACACCAACCAGGAGGCAGGCTTTTAAGCTGTCACAGGGAAAGGCTGGGTTATAAGAGCCAGTGATACATCTTAGGGGCCAGACACCCAAGAGGAGAAAGCTATGAAGAGCTAGAAGCAGGTGGAAGCACTTCCCGAACCAATCCTCCCTTAGTTTGAAGATTCATTCATTTAGCAAATAATTCTTGGCACCTGTCACACATCAGGCAATGTCTGGGGCTCTTGGCATATAGTGGTCCTGCCCCCCTCTGGCTCAGTGTGGAAAGAGAAGGCAGATTGTTGTGAATCCCACAAACAAGCCTATAATGACAAAGCTGGTGAAGAATGATGCAGGGAGCAAAGGGTGCAGTGGAAGAGCTGATAGGTGATGTAACTTAGACTAGGACCAAGGGGCAGGAGACCACAGGGGTGAGGACAAGGGTGTTGGCAGGTGAGGAAGTGCCTGCTGAGGGCAGAGGTAGGGTACATAAGCAATGGGGAAAGTGGCTAGGATGAAACAGTAGGGCTGGCAAGAAGCCTTTATGGGATCTTTATCCTAAGTTTAACCACTGAAAGGTTTTATGTACAGGGAAATTTGATGGAAAGGAATGTGGAGAGTGAGGAAGAAGTGGGGCAAGAGGGACCCATGTGGATAGTGGTGACATCTGCTGGCAGGGATAAGGAAGGACAAACTTGGGAGACAGTTCAGGTGTGAAGCTGCCACACTGGCTCTATCTGTGAGATCCAAGTTCAGGGGCAGGGGAGCAGCAGGGTGTATATAGTTTTGGAGGTCAGAGAGTGGAGGAAACCTGGCAGGTGTGGCCTATCTGTGGTATTTTCAACCACTGATGAAGAAGTGGACAAGCACACCCTTAGGAGCTAGGGTAGAATAACACAAAAAGGCAGACTGCAAAAAAGATCAGGAACGAGGCTGAGCTAGCAATAAGGACTGAGAAAGAGAGCTGGGAGAAAAATCAGAAAAATGGGCAGCTCCAGGAGCTTTGGGGCCAGCATGACTGATACTGCAGGGTGGGTGAGACCAGAGTTAGAAACTATCCATTGGACTCAGCTGCATAATATAAATAATTGCTGCATCCACTGTGAATGTGTCAGTCAAGTTGTGGAGGCACAGGCCAGACCCATGGGGACTGACAGGATGGCAGGGTGGGTAGCCCTGAGGAACTTACAGCACTGTGGGTCAGAGAGGGTGTCACATCAGAAACTGAGGAATGGGCCTCAGCCAATCCTGCTCTGACTGCGTCCCCAACTGGCCGACACTGTTGTTCAATGTGTGGCTTTACACAGCAGATATATTTTTAAAAGTTTACATATTCACATTTCCTTCAGTCATACATGCAGTTCAAATTTCTAAAAGCTGCTGGCAGGTTTTTTTGTGGGTCGAGGGGTACCAGGGATTGAGCTCAGGGGCACTCAACCACTGAGCCACATCCCCAGTCCTCTTTTGTATTTCATTTAGAGACAGGGTCTCACTGAGTTGCTTAGCACCTCACCATTGCTGCAGCTGGCTTGGAACTCGAAATCTTCCTGTCTTAGCCTCCCGAGCTGCTGGGATTATAGGCGTGTGCCACTGCACCTGGATGCTGGCAGTTTTCTTTTAATAATTCCAGATACCCAGGCAGTAACTTCCAACAACAAAATTCCTATACAGAGTATTTGTATTTTAAGAATTACAGCCAGGGGTGTGAATTCCAAATCCTTACTGCCCCTCTCCCCTTAATTCTTATTCCATATGGCTTACGATATTTGAAACCTGTTTAGTTTTTAAAAATTAAAACCAGACAGTTTCACAATGTTAAACGCTGCTAAGTTCTCACCGGGTCTCCTTTCAAATGAAGAGCTGATTAGGATCAGAGGTGTGCTTACTTCCTCTGTGGAAGAGGCCCCATGACTCCCCGTCTCCGACATGCCGTGGTCCCCACAAAGAACCAGCAAACTGGGTGAGAGAGTCTCTCTCTCCTGAAAGGCAAGGGGACCGGGTCAGCTGCCATCACACTGCAGAGCATGTGATCCTTCATCAATGGGCACTCCTCAGCAAACTGGATTTCTTTTTCCATGAGCCTAGAGCCAGACTGAAGGGTCCGAGTCAAGTGATGGCATGGGAGAAACACACTGGACCAAATGTAGCTCAGAGAGTGCAGGAAGGCTGTTTGTGGTCTCCCAAGCTAAGGATTTGTCATTACCACTTCCATGCCCCAGGCATGAGACTCCCAGTTTCCTCATCTGACAGTGGATGTATTACAGGACTGTTTGAGGATAAATCCCCAGCACCCAGAGAGAGCTTTGAGCCACGTGAGGAGATTCCATGGGCCTTTACTGCTCCTGTTGTGGCAGCCAGGCTCTGCTGGGCCTCTGCTGCTTCTCTGGCTGGCACCCACCTGCAGGCAAAGTGTCTACCCCTCTCTCCCTTTAATTCTCTGCTCACACTGTGCAGGTCTTCACAGAAGGCCATTTAAAACTATGGCAGGTCCTCAGAACAGGGGTGCCGCTCCCTCCGCCTGTGTTCTCCTTGGCACCAATTGCTTTTGAACATACTGGTTTCTTGGTTATTACCTTCTTATTTGCCTCTCCTGGACAGAATATGAGCTCCACTGCCAAAGAACAGTAAAATGGAAGGTGTTCAGGATTACTGGGAAGACTGAGCATAGCCAGGAGTGTGGCACTCACCTAAGTAGGTCTGTTCTCTGAAGATCAGCAATGCTAAACCCATCCCCATGCGATGAGCCCCAGAAGTCTCACCTTGGACAGCAGTGAGGTGTGAATCTTCATCAGGATGCTGTCCATTTCACTAAGCTTGCGCCCAATCAGGGGGCTGTTGGGCCCAGAAATGTGGCCAATGTGGTCCAGGCCCAGGTAGTGGAGGATTAGCATGTCCCAATCTCCTCTTTTTAATACTGTATCCAAATGCCTTGTGACGTTATCATCTACCTTTGAAGGGGAAATGTGCATGTAAATGGCTTGCCCAATTTTCCCTGCCAGGGAAAAAGCAGCCGCCATTTTAAAATCTAGGGGTTTATTTTACTTTAGGTCACAGGACTCATGGGAACTGAAAAGACAAAACACAAACCGAGACAAAACAAAAATCCTTATGTCATTAAAAATAAGTAAATGAACATTAATATTAGATTAAGTCTCACTGCTATTGTTTTTATTTCTCTAAGTTGTGGACAGGACATATCATACAGATAATTTAAATGGGCAAGGGCTGATATGACAAAAAATTTTTCTGTGGGATCACTGCTAGGCTTAACTAAAAGCTACCCAAAGGAGCAAGTTAAATTGTCCCCAAGTTGCCATGGGGTAACAAGGGCAACGGGCAGCTAAGACAGGACAGTACCCAGAGTTAGAGTAACCAGCAGTCCCATGAGAAGGCTATTCTTGGAAGGAAAGAGACAGCACTTATGGGCTCTTGTTTCTAAAACAAACACATGATGGAGAGATTAGCAGCTGAGCAGCTCCCGACCTTGCTGGTAGACTGCTCAGCCCTGACCCCTCAGCTAGCCCTTTCCCTCCCCCAATACATCTACTGCAGAGAGAAGTGTTCCTGTGCACAAGCATATACACTGTGGGAAGTGCATTACTGCTGGTAAGTAATGTGGTGCCTGCCCTGGTAGATGGGAAAGGGCACACCTTTGGAGAAGGTACCTGTGTGAGCAGGACCACAGATGCTCCCCAGCTGCGGCACACTGAAATCTGAGGCCATCTGATCCCAGCTGCCAAGATAGACATGCTGGTATACTGGTGCTCCTGCTCCTGGAGCCAACTTCTAGCACATGAGTCTAATCCTACTCTTCCTTTGCTGGAGTCTGCACCCTAGCATAGGCCAGGGCCCCTCAGGACCACCTGCAGAACCAAAAAGCTAGAGGATCCCTGGCAGTGGTGCTACATCTGTGCTGTACTGGTTGCTACCTCCCTGTTCTGCCTGCTCAGGAAGCCCCCACTCACCCATCAGAGTCTGCCCTGACAGCTCATCTGCATGGTGCCCTTCCCCATCCTCAGTGGGTGTTCAGCTATTCTGTACATGGGTTCCGTAGACTTCTCCTCACACCCACACCTGGGTGCATGTCCCCAGTTGTGACTGATTACACGGATGAATGATGGTTGCAATTTCCCACACTACTCCATAAATTAATAAATGTCACATTCAAAATAACACTAGATGATGCTGGTGCCAGGCTCTATCTAGGATGGCATATTTCTCTTATTTTAAAAACTGACCTCTGTATAATCTGACACAAAAAATGAGGTTGTTCCATCATATTCCACAAAATGCTTTGGGAATAACTTAACCCATGTTTCATCTCCATAAAAGATCACTCTCTTCCCAGCTGCTTTTGCTTGTCTGATCACACTGTCTTCCAGTAGTGCAGGAGAATTGAGGTTCCTGATGACATCCACAAAGCCAGGGAGGCTCCCTGTCATCAATGCCTGTGGGAGGAAACACTTTACAGTTAGACTGCTGAATCCAAAGGCACAGCAACAGAGGCAAAAGACTACCTGACAAACCGACAGGTGAAATGTCTGCCCAATACTGGAGGCTGAGCCAACGTGAGGACAGCACCTGTGTGAAGCAGGGCAAGCACAAAGATACTGCTCAAAACCAGCCAACCCAATAATGCAGACCTGACTAAAACAAAGAGCATGGCACAGAGCAATTCCTTCCCTGATAAGACAATAAAGGAAGAGGCTAGGAAGAGTCAGACAACAGCAGTGGCCAGAGAAGCCATGCGTTAGTGAGTTGAGACACCTCATGTGGCTAAGTACGGTGTACTTAAGTCACAAACTTGAGTACCACTCCAAACTCGGACAATCCAGCAAGTCTAACTATCTCTGAATGATAAACAGGAGGAAAGCCACCTATACACATGACTCCTAGGAGCTCTCAAAGTGAGCAGGGCCCTTTGGCCACCTTCCCCAATGTTGTGTCATGTTTACTGGAAGGAGAAGGTGGGTGTGACATATTCTTGTATCTTTCTAATAATGCAGAATTGAGTCAACAACCACCCCCATTTTTTAGCATAGAACTTCAGGCCACAGTGATAGATCTCCATGGTTTGGAATTACACAACCACCCTCAACATCATCATCCAGGGACCTGTGCCACAGAAAATAGGAAAATGGACAATTCCAACAAGTGCAGGAATTCTGCCAAGACTTCTTCAATAGCAAACAGATGTGAATGTGTGTGCATGCATGTCAATGGAGATCAAGCTCGGAGCTTCACACATGCTGGGCTAGAGCCCTACTACTGAACTACACCTCTTACCGAAGAGAAATGTGAATTAATCAGACATCTGGAATGCCAGGGGGCTTAGCAAATACTCTCCCCCAAGAGCGATGGAAAACAGGCAAAAATATCAAAAACAACCATTCAAGAAGTTTGAAATTGACCAGAACTGTACAACCAACTGAGAAGCATGTATTCAAGAAAAACTACTGTACCTGTGGTTTCTCATAGGGCTGCTCCTGCCTCTTCCTATCCCAGTTCTGTGACATGGCAACCATGAAGAACCTGACCTAATGTGACTGTAGAAAAGCCCCATGCCCAAGAAGTTGTGCAATCAGGGAAGGCCAACGACACAAACAAAAGCCCAGCCAGACATTTAAAATGGGGATCTAGAGCAAGAGACAGTTATAGCTGACATTTTTAAGCTCCACATATTTCTGGGAATCCAGAGTGGTAGCAAGAACCCCAGTCACCTGCTCCTTCTCCCTGAGTAGGGAGCCCTACTTAGAAAAACAGCGACAGAGCAGGCTTGACTGAACAGTGCCTGTGAGTTCCAACCTACAAAGAGGGTGGACACCATACTGCATGATGTGCTTGGAAAAAAATGATAAAAAATAACAAAACAAACAAAACCCTAACCACAATTAAGCAGAGACATCATTTGCTGCATACTCTGGGGGAGAAAGACTGTACAGACTAGCTCAAACAAATTCGTACAGAATAAGAGCAACAACTACCACTACTGCTCCCAGCATGGGGGTCAGAATTCAGATTTGAAGTAGGGTTGACTGGATATACGTTATCTGCTGAATCTCATCATATTGTATATACAAAAATATGTGTATGGCACTGTATGAAAATCATCTCAGCAAAGTTATTCTTTAAACTCTGAATGCAAATTCCATCCCCAAATCCTACTCTTATAGGCAACCAGGGACTTGAGGTGAGTGCCATTTCAGATTCTTTCCTATATGCAAACAATCTCAAATTCTAGAAACATATCATGAACCTCTTTCCCCAGGAAATATACCACTTTATTTAAAGACACTTTATTTAAACAGTTTCAAAGTGATCCAGTGTATGAATACACAACATATTTAACCAAGACCATCTTAATGAACATTTATTTTCCAATTTCCTGTGGAAGTGCCATTTGAGCTGAGGAACTGTAGAGGTGATATAGTTTTCTAGGAGAAAACAGAAAACTGCAAAGGCCCAGAGCAGAAAAGAACAGTGCACTTAAGGACCTGAGTCAGGCATGGCCAACATGAAGGAAAAGCATGGAAGGGGGTGAGCAGCTTGATACGGATGGGGACAAAGGGAGCAAAACCACACAGAGCCTTGAAAGTTGGAGCTCAGAGAGGACAGAGGCTAAGCCACTAGAAGGTTTTAAGAATGGCAGGAGTGTGATCTGACTGAGCCATACTTTGGGCAGAAGGAGGTGGGGGGAAACGTTTGTTGTCCTGGCTGGAAACCATGGCAGATGGACCACAGTGCTAACAGAGGAAATGATGGCCCAAGCTAGGGACACCCACCCACACCCACAATACCTCATAGCATATGTTCACCTCATTCCTTGTGAGGAACAGACACTACCAATCTTTTAATTTTTACAATGTGACAGACAGACCTGGTGTTATGGATTGTTTTTAATTTGCCTTGCTCTGATTACTAGTAAGGTTGAGAATTTTCTATGTTTACTGACCACTTCACATTCTTCCCTCATGGGTTTCTTTATGTCCTTCCCAGGTTTCCCCCGGATTGCCCATCCTGGATCTGATCCCACCTTACATATCATGGACTAACCACCTTATTTGTTTTGTCTACTGTAAATAATTTTTTCAGTTTATCATCTGTTAGCAAACTTTTTTGCCACATAAAAAGTGTCCTGCTTTCATACAGTCAAATCTACTCGCCCTCCCTTTGTGGCTTTTACAAAGCCATTCCTTGCTCTCACTCTAGTTTGAGTTCCCACTGATTAAGGATAGCTGGTTCTACTTGGTCATCCCTTGGCTGTGGAGAATGCAGCTGGCAGCTGGGTTGCAGTTGCAGCTCCAGGAAATCTGAAGGAGACATCCATCTGTCATTAATGGTGTTGCTGTGGCTTTAGGAGGAGTGGACTCTTGACTTCTCAGAACTAGGGAAAGCTATGCAAACACGCTTTAAAGAGAACTTACTTTGTTATTCTATTTTTCAGTACAGTTGTAGGACACCAGAGGCTCTAGAATCAGACAAATAGGGCCATTCTCAGTTCTGATGCTGTGATTTTACCTCCATGAGTCTCTACTCCCTCCTCTGGAAATGGAGCTGAGCACAGTAGCTTTCTCACAGGACCTTTCTCACAGGACCAACTCATGGGGCTCATTTGAGGGGAAGCCAACATGCTGGTCTGGACAGAACCCAAAGCTTGCAGAGTACTTGCACATTTTCTCAAACTGGAGTCTCAATGACATTTTTATTAAAAGAATAAAGGAGAAAAGGTTCCTTCCACAGTTCTGACAGGGCTTAATCTCTGAAATAAAGACATCAGTGTCCCTGGTGAACAGGAACCTGACACCTTTCTTTTAGCTTCGACAGTATGTTCTGCTTTCAACAAAAGAGCAGCTTCTGAGACTGCTCCTGAGCATGGTGATGCAGATGCCCTCCCTCACCCATCACTCCATCACTGTCCCCCTTTTCAATTCCTTTCACATACTTATATTTTCTGTCTTTCCCATTAGAAAGTAAGCTTCATGAGGCTGTTGCTGTCTTGTTCTCCACTGAATCCTTCTAGTCTAGAACATGATGAGGTGTGTAGTAGCTGCTCAGTATCACTGAGTGAAAGACATACCACATCCCAAGGTGGCAGACAGCATGGGAAACTCACAGACAGAGTCATGGAATGATACAGCACTTACCTGCCTTCAGTCCAAACTTTTTCCATCAAGTGGACAGATTTACTGAACACCCACAAATACTGCCTCCAAGTCTTAAATCAAGTAGCAGCTCATTCTGATCCAGTCTTCGAACTCACATTATCAGACACAGATTTTATACCACACAGCATGCAGTACAGCCACACTCAATGCCTCAGTTTCTTCTGCCCGCACTCCCATACTCATTCTACCAGTCTCTGTTTGAATGTCATTTCCTCATACAAGCCCCATACCCACATTGGGTATCACATTCTATTCTTTTCCATCATGTGCTCATCACACTTTAACACTTTATAACTGCACATTTATTTTATGCTTATTTGTTGAATAGAATGTCTATGTATCTCTCCAGAGACTAAAAGCCCCAGGAAAGCAGAGATACTAACCCACCCCCAGCGTATCCCCATCACAATATCAACATATGATAATCTATAGATAAAAATTTCCTTGGGCTGGGGATGTGGCTCAAGCAGTAGCGTGCTCGCCTGGCATGCATGCGGCCCGGGGTTCGATCCTCAGTACCACATACAAACAAAGATATTGTGTCCACCGAAAACTAAAAAATAAATATTAAAATTCTCTCTCTCTCTCTTAAAAAAATAATTATTAAAAAAAATTTCCTGAGACAATCAATAGAGTTTTATGTTTTTATTTATCCATGATTCTTGGGTAAAGCACTAGGTACTTGAAAACCACTCTTACCAAGCTGAATGGGTTTACGTAGTAGAATTGTAAGGGCAGGTGATACAGTTTGATCTTATGTATTCTGCAATTTTGGGCAAGTCAAATAATTATCTGAGTTTGCCTTCTTATGCATAAAGTCAAGATTAGACTTGGCAACTCAAAACTTTCCTTGCAGGGTTGTAACTAACCCATTGGTGATTAAAGAGAGTAGGCTACAGAGAAGGATGTCTCTTGGGCTGGCCTGGTTGATCTGGCTTTAAATCCTTTTTACTTCCCATGATGCCTGAGCTCTGGCTACTTGACAAGGGACACAAATCACAGGTCTCAGCTCCACCCTGACTGTGAAGCATCGTTAATGTTCTATCACCCCAGTAAAACTGACAGCACCAAACTAATTTTCACTTAATGGAAACTGGGACTCCAAACAGAGGACTACAGAATCCCTGTAAGCCTTCAAAGGAGCCAAACCATGATTTACAAAAAAATCAAGTCAAGCTTACCTTGATTCGAGGCATAGTCACTGTGGGTGGCTTTGCTTCAGCCACAAAACTGTGAGATGCTCCTTTTTCCACAAGATAACTTGTGTAGGGCATATACTTCACACCCTTTGACCCAAACACAAAATCATCTCTCAAGGCGTCTATCAGCACAATGACAACTTTATTGAAGAGAGGAGGTGGCAGCTTGGTCCAGTTGGAACGGGCTCCTAAAAGCGTTTGAAAGAAAAAAGGGAAATTACAATTTAAACTTACCATTCAAGCGCCTTCAAAACCTTGCTTCTGTCTGCTTCTCCAGTATACAACCTGTCCTATCTGTGTATGGCAACCCAAAAGAAGGGCTGTTCTTGGTAGGCAGTGCTGGAGAGAAGAAGGTGTTGATAGTGAGTAAGCACAGGGAGCCCCAATAATAAGCAGTGGATTGCCCTTAGTATGGCAAGGAGTAACTGGGGCAGGGGAAGTCCCTACATTAAAGTCCCTGAGTGTCCCATTCAGGAACACTGACCTTGACCTAACGATGGGTGGCTTTGCAAACTGCATTTACATGGCCGGTGGCTGGTATTCTGTGGTCCTGGTCCAGAACCAGGGAGCTTTTACCTAGTGGGTACTGCTGTGTAGGTGAGGGACAGGAAGGGGCCTGATGCAGAAAGGCCTTAACTACCGTGGTCTAAAAACAAGGGGGGCCGGGCTTGGGATAAAACAGAAAACGTGAGGGATCGGCAGCAATGTGACCTATTCGGAAAAGTTGGGGGGGGGGGCCCTCTGGATGGGCAGAGGGAGGGATGGAGCCTGGGTACGCGGAGCTGACTGTGGTAATCCAAGGAAAGTGGCGGTAGGGTGCCAAAGTTGTAGGGCACTGGAAAAGGCACCAGGGCGGTAAAAGCGGTTTCTCGGGCTGGGGACCACAGGGGAAGAGAAGCCCCTCCCCCGGGAAACGTCGGGCTCAGGGGGAGCGTCCTCTGCAGGAAGCAGGGCCGGGGGACACTGGCGAAGGGATCCGTACCAGCAGCAGGCTCGGGCGCCGGGGGCTCTGCTCGGTGCTCGGTCCTGGAAGAGGAGCGAACGGGAGCCGGGAAGAATCCCCGCAGGAAGATCGCGACCCCAAGCACTTCAATCGCTACGCAGCTGGCAGCGAAGGCCCCGGAGCCCAACCGCATCGTGTCCACTCGTCGGGCTAGGGAACGGGCGGGACTCCACCGAAGTCTCGCCCAGCGACCGCCGCTCCCGGTCCGCTAGCGGCTTCTGAGCAGGAACCGGCAGGCCTGACTGACAGGCGTCGCCCCAGCTTGGCGTCACGTCCGCCCGCGCGCCGGAAAACGCGAAAGGGGCGGGGCTCCCGAGTTCTGGGGCCGCTTTTCCCACGGGTCTCCGCCCTCAGCACCTGCCCCCAAGTCATTGTCCTCTGGCAACGTCCTCCCGAGCCCCAGCGGGTCCCGGTCCCTGGGAACGCACCAGCCCCGCCCCGCCCCCTGGCAACGCCCCCACAAGCACCACATCCTCCGCTAACGCCCCCGAGTCCGAGGTCCCCGGTAACGCCCCACGAGTCCCCGCCCATCCGGCAAAGCTCCCAGTCCCCGCCTCTGGCAACGCCTGGAGTTCCCCCGTAACGCCCCCGCGAATCCCCGCCCCCGGCAACGCCCCCCAAGCACCACACCCTCCGCTAACGCCCCCGAGTCCGAGGTCCCTGGTAACGCCCCCAAGTCCCCCTCTACCCGGCAGAGTTCCCAGTCCCCGCCTCTGGCAACTCCCGGAGTCCCGCCCCCGATATCCCCGGCCTCTGGCAACGCCCTCGGGATTCTGGCTTTAGCCGCGTGCGTGCTGCTTAGCGAGGGCCTCCCAAAGGCTGACAGGTGACTGCTCGCCTGCACTTTTTTTGCCCTCGCATTCCTCAGTGCTGGCTGAGGCTGGCAGATGAAGGCCCGGTATTTCGCCTCAGAGGGAGTCTGAGGCCACGGAGCTCCATGGCACCCTGAAATTAGGTCAAAGCCAGTCATAGGCGACTACGCACCTGCCGCCCACGCCTAGGTGGTGCCTTGCTTTCTTCAGGCTCTGAGAGCCTTCCCTCCACAAGTCACATGGAACAAAACCTCTTCTGTGGTTCTGCTCCGGGACACCAGGCCCAAGGCCAGCTTGAAGTGTGTCATGGCATTAAAGACAACGGTCCTGCGACAGGTATGTCGCCCTAGGCCATGAGCGCTGCAAGTAGCCTTCTACTTCTCCCCAGGTCGACCCAGCCGGGCGTGTTGGTGGTGACCACCACTGCGATGGCAGCTGAGTTTGTGTAGTTCTACGTGGACTGAAGGCACTGGTAGGCAGTAGAGCAAGTCCTATATTTTATTTGTTTTTGTACATAATGTTTACAACTCAGTGAATTTGGGGTAAGATACACTAAGAAACCATCACCACCATCAAGGCTGTAAATTCCTCCTCCAAGCTTCATGGCTTTTTTCTTTTTCTTCTTTTTCCTTTTCATTTTTGTGGAAAAAAAAAAAAAAACCACATTGTGAGATCCACTTTTTTGGGCAGGGGGGTTACTGGGAATTGAACTCAGGGGCACTTGACCACTGAGCCACATCCCCAGCCCTATTTTGTATTTTATTTAGAGACAGGGTCTCTCTCAGTTGCTTAGTGCTTCATAGTTGCTGAGTCTGGCTTTGAACTCCTGATCCTCCTCCCTCAGCCTCCCAAGCCATTGGGATTACAGGACTGCGCTACCACGCCTGGCTGTAAGGTCTACTCATTCAGTGCATTTTAAATATGCAATATTGCCATAGGCACTATGCTATATAGTAGTAGACCACAGAACTCACCTAGCATAATTGAAACTTTGTACCTTTTAATTTATTTCTTTTTAATTTTTCTTCCCATTTTTTCTTGTTACTATTATTGATTGGTACCCCCCTCTGCCCAGACATCTGTTGTTTTTGTATTGGATCCCCCACTTAGGAGCACAAGTATAGAAGTGTCTATCTGATTGGGTCCCCCACTTGTGTCCAGGAGCCTTTTGTCAAACAGGAAATTGACCTCATTAGAAGACCCTCTCCATGCTCCTTTGTTCTGGCCCTGCCCTTGACCTCCTCACTCATCACCTTGCCCTGGCTACCTAAGCTCTTCTACATTGACCCTAATCCCCTCTCTCAGAGGATACCCCAGCTACTGTTGGGAGTTGGGGCAGTGACTACTTACTTCAGGCTGACAAGGGGCATCATCAGAGTAACAGGGATATCCTTCTGAGGAAGTTCTAGGACAAGTGAGAAGCAGCAGGCCAATCCAGAGGCCAACACTGATGGTATATATCAGTGGGTCTGTTGATGGATCCATGGTAGAAGTCTGGAGGGATGGCCATTGGGACTCCATTTTATTGCCTTTACACGAAAGGAAACAAAGTGAATAAGCAAACAGATAATGTAAGGACCAAAAAGAAGAATAAGCACCAGGGCTGTAAGAGCCCAAGGAAAGGCAAAAAACATAAGGCAGCTTTTATGGCTTTGGATGATCTGTTGGACTGTGTCCCTTAAGCCCTTTTCTGAAAATATTTTCTGTTTTAGGGTAAGAGTGTTATCTCTTCCCAAATAGTAGAAGTGATCAACTTTAGAATCTTCCACTGGGATGCTTCAGGGAGTAATAGGGTGTCATTAGGAGAAACCCACCATTCTCTATGGTCTACTTGGTATCCCTACAGCCTGTTGAGCCTCTTCCATTGGGAGTTCAGAAGACAGAAAATAATTTTCCCATAGGAATGTGGCAATTGAAAAACCCTGTAAAGCAGGCTTTGCAGGGCTACATCTGCAGCCATATTTCCTTTAGCTATTATGTTCATAGTTATTATACAAACTCAATATGTTTTTACTTTTGTTAATTTTATTTTGTATTTTCCTTGTATTTTTTATAACTGTCGTCTGTTAGTGCCTTGCAAAAGTACAATTTCTAATATAACGACCTGAGTTAATTTGAGATGATAGGACATTACCTACAGAACAGACAGAATGTAAGTCTAACTTCTAGTACTTTTACTGACCCCCAGATAAATGAAAGGGTAAATCACTATAAAGTTATAAACATTAAACTTAAAACCCAGTACTCCTACCTTAAGACTGGTGAAACTGGCCTAAACTTGTATACTAAATTTAAGGAAGTAAAAGGGCCAAGAAAAAATAGCCACGTCTTACAGTGGTGCAGCTGCCTCCTGGCTGTGGAGGAAGAGCCTCTTAGTGAGGGATGGAGCACCACTCAGGCCTGCACAGGGAGACAGCAGATTCATCAGTCACACCCTACTGCTTCACCTGGATCAGGTGAAGGCAGGCAAGGGAAATATTGATGCAAAAACCTTCAACAAATACAATAAACCAGCAACATATGAAGTGAATAATATGGGATTCATTCCAGGAATGCTAGGTTGGTTTAATAGTCAAATAAATTATAATACAAACCATGTCAAAAAAAATTAGTGAAACCACATGATCATCTCTAGATGCAGAAAACAAGTTTAACAAAATTTTACAAAGTAGGAAGAGAAATGATCATACTAAAACAGATAAAGGAAATATAAAACACTACATCATACTTAGTGAAGGAAGCATATACTCTTTTGTCCTAAGGCCAGGAACAAGGTAATGAATCCACTCTCACCACTTTTATTCATCATCGCACTGGGGGTGCTAGCAAGGGCATTCTGGCAACAGAAGTAAAAGTATTTATATTGAAAGGAACAAGCGTAATTATCTTTAAAGATCATATGATCTTGGCAGGTGAGGGGTGGCAGAAAGGATAGTTAGTGTAGGTAATGAATGAAGATGGAAGCTGATTAAAAAGGAATGAAATATTTTTTTGGTTGTAGATGGACACAATACCTTTATTTATTTTATTTGTTTATTTTTATGTGGTGCCAGGGATGAACATAATGCCTTAGGCATGCTAGGCAAGCATTTTACCACTAAGCCACAACCTACCCAAAAGGGAATGAAATATTAATACCTCTAAAGTACTTCCTTTTCCCCCACCTGTTGCCAGGGTTACCTGTTGCCAGGGTTACTTGTTTCCAGAGAATTGTTCCTCCCTACAAAGAGTTGTTAATTAATGCCCCCTGGGATGCTTCCTTTCTGCCTGTACCCCTGTAAGGCTCCTTCCCCACCCGTGGATCATTCCACTCCACTTTTTGGGCCATCTAGGCACGATGGGGGATAGCATGAGAACAAAGGAAATCTGAAATGTATAAAAGGAGAAGGACACCCCCACTTCCTCAGATACCCAGTTCTGGGGCCCCTTCTCTTCAGAGAAGTGTTGCCACTGTCAATTTCTATATTAAATTTCTTTTTTCATACCAGGGATTGAACCCAGGGGCACTTAATCACCAGGCCACATCCCCAGTCCTTTTTTATGTTTTATTAGAGACAAGGGGTCACCAAGTTGCTGAGGCTGGCTTTGAACTCACGATCCTGCTGTCTCAACCTCCTGAGCTGTTAGGATTACATAGGCATGTGCCACCATGCCCAGCTTTCTATAGTCCACTTATATGGAAAAATGGGTGATAACATCTCCAAACTGCTTCCTGCTGAAAAGGAGCAAAGTTGGGGGAAGTAACCCAAAGTTCTTGTTCTCTATCAGGTGGGGTGTGGACAGTTAAGGGCATTCAGCATCAGAGCAGTCCTGAGGTACACAGTGGAAGATGGCAGGTGACTGGACAAGGCATTCATAGGGCAGGGATCATCCTAAGACAACAATAAAGACAGCAAAGCATTACTTTTTTTTTTTCAAATAATTAGCACAAAAAACAGTATTTCAGCCAGTCTCTGAAAACCATAAGGACAGGAACTCATAATCTTATCAATAAAAAACAGACCAAGTTCATCAATGTGGGAGATTAGGAAATTTGTAAGTCTATGAAATCAGGCTCAAATTAACTCAGGACAAATTTGTGATTCTTGTGATCATTATTATTAGGCACTCTCACTCAAGAACCCTTCCTCTGTAGCCTTCAGCTTTACTTACTTTTGGTAGGCCGGACACAAGTGTACATTTTACATTACATTAAAAAAAAGTTTTTCCTTTTAAATGTCCATATAGGAAACCCCAACCCATCCTGGCAAGCGGCACCACTGGTAAAGAAAAGCTAAAGGAGCCAGGATGCTTTGCACATGTACACAAGGGTGATCTCTGAGGAATCTCAGCTGACTGTAGGAGCAAATAGAAACAACGAGTCAGTTTGACCAACTTGGTCTTAAACACCTGGCAGTTTTGCTGAAAGCTCTGTCCTTGTCCTTGATGCCAATCCAATAACAAAGACACGGTT